ATGTTTCTGCAGCTGCAGCCTCTTACTCAGCTAACAGGTAGAACATGACTGACAAGACAAATGAGTGTCCTGAAGGAAGGAAAGACAATGAATGACGCTGTTGACAAGAAGGGCCCATTAGTGCAGTTATGTGAAGGTAAGTTTGGAGTTTTAAGTTGTACAAAAAAAGCTAAGTAAATTATGCAGAGTGCAATTTAGGAGTCCATTAAAGACGGAAGTTTTGTGTGCAGAATCTGATTTCTGTTTAGAGACTAAACAAACTCCTGTTAGGGCAGAAAATCTGTCGCTGTCGAGAAAGTAAAAAAGGTAGGACCCAAGCAGCCCAATGTAGACCGTACAAGAACAGTCCAAAGCCACACTGACTGGGAGGATCCAGAAAGAAATCATACCAGAACATGTTTTAGAATAATGTTGCACTTTTAAATGAGTCACTGACAGAGATACTGTTGCTACTAACAGAATGTGTTCCTGGTCCAGTTCTGTCTCTTTTGTGTGCATACTCTGTATCTCAGGCTCCAGTCAGTTTGAACCTGACTGGAGCCAGGATCTGGTTCTCCTTTGAGGTTTCATTTCTGACTCTTCAGCTAACACTGATTAGTAAGGGAGAGGATTTATTGTATGACTTATCATTTAACATAATACATTCATCATAAGTGTTTTGATTTATTGTTCCCATGATAAATTCCAAGCTATGTTTTGAAAATAATTGTATCATCTGGATTATTACTTTTACTACGTTCTCCACCTTTTTTCCATTGAAAGTATAAAAAAAAATACCAATAAATTTGAAAATATGATTAGATGCAGTTCTTTACATGACCGGTGTCCTAAAATAAACATTACGTGTGAGTATTTGTTTGTGGTTTCACACATGGAAATAAAAAACAGTCAGTTTAACAATTACTAAAAAAAAAAGAAGAAATAAGTAGTCTTTATCGTCACTTTTATTGTTATCACAATAGAACCACAAAACATTGTGCTAAAACTTTAAGCCCACTGATACCTTACCTGTGTCTAAGACTCCCATAGAGATCCCAACCACAGACATGATTCCAGCGAGGAACAGTGCCTGCTTACAGAATGGAATGGCAAACATCCCAAACGCTGTGAGCAGCATGGAGACGCCTGCAAGCACAGAGTCAGCCGTTAGCTCCCGCCATACATGCAGCTGGGAGTGTTGACCCAGCTCTGCACCAGCAGCCACCAAGACAAAAACACCAAGGTCAGGGGTCACCTAGCAGGACGTGATGGTTCATCAATTCAAACAGAATGCCTCCGACGAGAGATCCGCCGATGTAGCCAGCAGCGCGACCCACAAAAATGTAGGAGATGTTGCTGATGTTCTTGTGCACATTGGCGGCCAGCTCCTCAAACGTTGGGCCAACAACCGAGATTCCCATTCCCTGGTGAAAAAAAAGAAAAAAGTCTATGCATGACTGAACGTCATTAGGATTGACATGATACCAACATGGAATCCAGACCAATGTTCTTGAGCTTACTTGCTCACAAATATTTTAAAATGTTACGAGTCAAATTGAGCTTTTTCTTCCTAGCAACAAAAACAGAAGAATTTGTGGGGGAGAGCTGATATTACTATAAGAATTTACAAGTTATAATCCATGAATATAAAAGAACATTTTTGAGTATGATCAGTGTGAGCTGAACTTTGAACTGGTTCTTGTAAAGGATGAGCTTCCCTGGAGCTAACCACAGTGCTGCAGGGGGAACAAAGAGCTGGTTATGTTTCATTTCTGCAAGCTGAAGTGAAGACGTTAAGAAAACAACAGCAGGCCGACAACTGGAATACATGCTGATGGTGTTCTGTAATCTGAGGTGCTGGGAGCTGTGGCAGAGCAGGTTTTGCAACTATGGAAATCCTGTCTGTGCAGGACATTACTGCACTCGGCCTGCAGTGTCCCTCAGTTGGCCGATAACCCGACACTTACTTATTACAGCTCGCAGAATATCATCCAACAGCAATGTGGGGGGTTTTATTAGCAAGTGAACACAGTTCAGACTGAAAAAAGAAGCCCATATAAGCCAATATGTATGTTAACTGCAATGTATATCTTTCTCTTTATACATGTATTTATGTACGAATATAATAATTGACAGTATTGTTACTGCTCTTGATCAACTGAGGATGATCAAGAGCAAAACACCCGACGGGTTTGTTAGTTAGCAATAATTTCTGCAATAAATCAACTTTATGGCTCTCAGACTGCTCACAGAAACTGGAATCTGTTTGAGCATCTCTGCAAATCGAGCTGCAAAAACCAAACTGAACTGATCAACGAGAGGCAGGACTATATCCAACAAGATCTGAGGCTGAAATTATTGCCAGAGTTGTGCTGAGAAAATCTTGTGAATATTCATGTCAACTGATGTCGACAGAAACCAAAATGTTTGTTTGATGGAGTGTTGCGTGTAATGCAGAGGTAACAATAGTCAGTCCTGTAGGGACATGCGCATGTTTTAGTTCTCCAACAGTAACAACCTTTACACCATGTCAGTGTTCTTCTTAGGCCTCTCATGAGCCATCATTTGATCCTGGTGTTAACCAGGGAGAGAACTAGAACACACAGGACACCGGCCCTCCAGGACCCATATCAGACACCACTGCTGTGGTGCTTCAATAAAAAATTGGAATTTAATCCATTTTGAAATAAGGCTGGAGTAAAACAAATGGTGGGAAAAGTGAATACTGAGAGGATGCACACTCCCCTCAGGACAAAGCTAACTCTTATTAGGAATGTACGGTAACAATGTAACACTTAGATTTCTATGGTTTCAAACATGCAAGAAAGATGGTCTCTAATAAAGACTGCAAAGTGTGTGGGGAAGAAACAATACAAATTGTAAACAAAACAAACTCCTGTTAGGGCTTCAGCTGCAGCCTCTTACTCAGCAAACAGGTAGAACATGACTGACAAGACAAATGAGTGTCCTGAAGGATTTTTTTTTTTTTTTTTTATCCAATGCAGCAATGGATTTGGTTCCCTGAAAAATGGGAAATGTCACATGGTTATAGTGAGACCATGTAAATATAATTAGAATAAAATGGTGGCACAAATCACTCTCACCACTTAAAAACAATACAGTTTTCAGTTAGTGTTAGCTAGTGTCACTTAAACCATGAAAGCGTGTGTGAAATATTTTCAAACTTGTCCATAACTGACATCAAAAATCCTTGACCACCTCGATAAGTTTACTTTGAAAGAAAAAAACAATGTCTGTCTGTCATCCACAGTGGCTCTGTTCTTTCCATGATGTGTAAATTGGCTATGAGCCTGAGATGAATGAACCAATTTAATGATTAATTTCTTCCATAGTTCTCTAGAAAAACTTCCGGGCTGGAACAACTCACCCCAATTCCTCCACATTGCTTCCTGCCATCTAATTGGAGGTCTGCTTGTTCCGTCTTGCTACAATTGAAAACACATTTTGCCAGTGGACTGAGGTGGAAGTTGTGGAAAATTTGTCAGACTAACAGAACAAAGCAATTCTAGATATAAAAACAACTTCCACTGAAAGGTGTATTTCAGTTTGTATAATTCTAGAAGAGGCCTGCAGAAAGCACTATATGAATTAAACCCCACAGCAACTAAGCTATTAGCTAGCCTTCTTTAGTTGGTCCATGTTTTATTAAAATGTGCTAATATTTACCAAGCCCAGGAAGGACCCACACAGCGCGAGCGTGACCATCCAACGGCCGCACGCGCCGCTTCCTCCGCCGACCACTTTCACCCGGTTGTCTCCTCCTTGCTTTATTGTCCTCTTCGCCAACTTCAGTGCACTCTTCAGCCCCCGACCAGCCTCCTTCCGCTTGTCAAACAGCGTGTTCTCCTCCTGCTCGTCGTTGTCGTCCTCCTCTTCCATGCTAGCGAAACGAACGTGCTTCTTTTTTGCGACGTTCTCGTGCACGGCGGACGAAGACATACCTGGATATTTGTCAGTATCGCAACCGACGCTGTCCAAAATTCAGCTGTGTAAACGACCTCCTTTAGCTACCGCAACCTTGTATTTAGGTTGAATTTTACTACATGAAAGTTATCAGGTTCATACCAAACAAACGGTGCAGAATGAAGAGTGACAGCTGGCCGCCGCTGAAGCAGCCTCCAAATGTCAACAGCCAGGCTACTGCTGCTGGAGGTCTGCAGAGATCGTCTATTCATCGTGAGGCGGGGAACATCGTTGTTTATTGCGACTTTAATTCATCCAATTTTAGCAGCACAGACATAGTGATCTTCTACACGTATTAAAGTAGCTTGTTAAGTCACTCATGAATTTCAGACATTTTTATTCCTTTACGTTTATATTTAAACATTTGAATGGACTTGCACCATTCAATGGACTCGTGATTCCATCAAATCACAGATCTACCAGGTTCTTCAAGTGGTGATTGAAGAACCACTTGAACAAAAAAAACTTTTTTGTTTTTTTACGTAACGTTTGTCTATATCAAGTTGAAATCTATTGTAAATCTTACAGTTGTTTTTTTTTTCTAGAAATCCGTGAAGTCTTGGTTGGTTCAAAAACAAAAGCGCACTCATGTACAATTATTCACATGATGAAGCTTTAAAAAAAACAACATCTATTTATGTTATGTTGTTGTTGTTAACTTTTATATTCTGCACTCGCAGCAGAGTACTGCATCTGCATTTGTTATACATCTGCGTTTCAGCTGACGCGTCAAAATGATCCGGAGCGACGGGAAGAACCTGAGCCTTAAAGGAAGCTGTTAAATAAATTGGCGACATCTAGTGTCTGGAGAAAACTTGTTTTCTTTTAACAATCCAAAACGGGTCGAAAATAATGTTTTAGCTGTCAAATTAAGCTCTTTGGTTCTTACACATTAATTTACACATTATGTATATGTTGAAAAAAAAAAAAGAAAAATATTTTCACCAGGTTTTAAAATGAGGAAATTCAAATAATACTACTAATAACAAAAATGAAATAGATAACGACATATAGTTGATAGTTAAGCATTCACCCCATTGAACCATCCATCCACCGTATCTTTAATTTAAGTTGTTGGCATTTTGTAATAAGGTAGAGGTTGAGTGACATTACATAAAACATAAGAATGCCTTTACTGCATATTTTAAACATATAGTACATAAATATCTGCTCAATCATGTGAGTTGTGTGTGTTACATGGGGATGCATGTGGTAAAATGTGAACCATTTAGGAAAAGCTCACAGAAACATTCACAGAAATAAAGACTTGAAAACAAGAGTCTACATAAAATTAAGTTACCGTATGTAATCTGTTTCACTGGTTGGATGGAGTTAATTAAATAAACACATTTTTAATAATATTCTAATTCACTGAATATGACTGTTTGTGATGAAAAAGAATGGAGCTCTGAGCCCAGTGTTTTCATGCCATACAAAGTGAGAGAAAAAAAGCAAGAAGTCAAGAAAATAATAAAAATCTTTTTTTACTCTATAAAACTGAGATGCGACTGTGCTTACCATTGTAGTTTAACAGTAAAACCCAAGCACAGCACTGTTGGTGCTCATGTTGGGATACATTTTGAATTTTCAGTTCAGAACATTAAAAAAAGAAGAATTTAAGACAAAAATATACAAAACTCAGACAGAGACAGTAAAGAACAGCCAAATTCATATGTGCAGATATTCTGCATATGGCGGATTCAGGCGGACAATAAAATGCCTAAAGCATTGTGGCTGATAAGAGCCCAGCATGACAGGTAGACTTCTAAAAGACAGAAAGCACTTCTAAGAATTTGCCGCTTTATAGCAATATGTCTTTTTGAATGGTACATATTGTGTTTTGAAGCTTTTATATAAAATCATCTAGACAAAATGTGAAAATAAGATATGAACAGCATAATAAAAGTTCTAAACTTTGGTGACAAAAAGCTGCAGCATTTAAGGCAAAAGGTCCATTCAGATAATGGTGCAATATTATGTATGTAGTGAAAAGTCAGTTTTATTCAAAATATTTGTCTAGTTAGTAAACACCCATAAACTTCTCTCACTTATTGTATTAAATAAAGGTTTCTCTGGCTTTGTGCAGGAAGTGCTTCACAGCTGTGGGGAGTTCAGACTCATCTCTGTCTTCACTCACTTCCTGTTCTGCTGCAGGGCAGCCATGTTGCTCCAGGAAACTTGACATGAGGCATGGCACTACCAGCAGGTCGGCTTCACAGAGTGGCATGTCAGCAGACAAACAGGACAAACACTCTGTCAGATAAACTCACTTCATCACACTTTGGTCTTCAGCGAACAAGGTAAAGGCTGCAGGTGAATGCTGACTGATTATGGCATTCAATTCCAACAAAAACAAGACACAAATAAATACAAGATATATTTTCTCTTATATGTTACTGGACTTTATGCAAAGTTACTTATTAACTGAGTCTAGATCTTCTGATGGTCATATAGTTAATGTTTAAATCCCAGGTCCATTCATCAGTGAGGGCATCTAAAACAATAAGATACTAGAGGTGAATAAGTAATAGCATTTTTACCATCTACTCATCCAGTCCGACATCTGATCGTCAGTCCATGCAGGTAATCCATGACCTGGACTTTGTGTTTTGTTTTGTTTTTTTATTACGTGTAAGTTATTGGGATTTTGTGGCAACAGACTAGCTCAAAGCAGCGTGTAATTGCAAGATGGAGAGAAAATGACACAAGGCTTTTAAAATGTTATCACATAATAAGATATGAATTCTCATTTAGTCTCATTCGGAATTTGCCAAATGAGACACAGCAAACATGTTGGAAGGTGCAGTGCACCTCACCCTGAATGCTCCACTCCCACCGTGGAACATGGTGGTGGCTGCATAATGCTGTGGGGAGGCTTTTGTGTTGGTCTGATGCATAAAATCCCAAGTAAATATGTTGAAGGCCATGTTTGCTGTGTGACATGGAGAAGTTGAAATAGTATGATAACTTTAGTAAGGTGGTTTTGAGTTTTGAAGTTTTGCCTAAATCACAGCAAAAAAACAAACAAAAAAACAATAATTGATACATTAGGTTATATAAGGCATGTAGAGAAAGATGAATCACTATTCAATTCATAACAGAGAAGCAAGATGTAGCATTGATAAAGGAATAGTTCAACATTTAGGAAGCAAAAAATGTCTTAATCGCTCACATTTAACACTGTGAAAATTCCTGAGTTAGTTAAGTTCTGGTTACGTAGCGTTTGGCAAACAGCCTGCTCCTGTTTCCTGCTTTGTTTACATCTGTTAAAAATATACTTTAAAAAAAACCTCATAACTTCATCTCTGAAATGGAAACTAAAGGGGACAATAGGCAATAAATACTCTGTGGTTTGTGCTGTTAAAACCACCATCACCTGTGTGTCAGTCTGAAATGGAAACAGAAATTTCAAGAGCAGCTTACCTAGAAATGATTGAGTGTCCTCACAGATTCAATCACGAATTAACACAAACCTTCAAGATTTCCTTTTAGATATTAATGACCCTGTTTTTGCAGAGATGCTGTGTGAAACGTAACAGAATACAACGATATGCAAATCTGTTTCAATCAATATTCACTTGAATTCACAACAAAGATATTTAATGTTCAACAGATTAACTATGGTGTTTTTGCAAATATTTGCTTATTTAATGTAGCTCGTCGCTACATTACAAGGTAAAACTCTACCATGCCAAGCTAAAGCGATGTCATGCTTTATTATTTATCTTACATTATATGTAGAATTTCTAATTGCGCTTTCTGAACCATTTGAAAGAAGGCTCGTTGCAGTTTATTTTTAAATGTTTGACTAAAGTAATTTACTTTTGTTTGTTTTTTTTTTAATCAGTTTCAGTTTTTTATTTATTTATTGCACTGACTGAACAAATGTAAATTGTTTTTACTGTTGACCGAACTTGTGAAGCAACCGGTGTATGTAAGTGTGCTGTGCTGGTGAAGCGTTATCAAACAAATTTGTAATTGTGTTCATTTATGTCTGTGTTTAAGTGAGTTCTGTTCTGGTTTTCTGTATCTGTGTCAGCCGATACAAAACCTCAGATGTCTGTATGGGAATTGAAACAAATCCCTGGATAACTTGGGTTATCCCTCTGTAAAGGCACCATTGATGCTGGGAGCTACATTTTGGAGCAACATGTAATACCATCCAAGCTACGTCTTTTTCAGGGACGCCCCTGCTTGTTCCAGCTAGACAAAATACCAAGCCACATTCTGCAGGTGTCACTGCTTTGTTCAAACTGTCCCAACTTTTTTTGGAATGTGTTGAACAAATCAAACTCCAAATAAATGAATATTTGCAAAAAACAACAAAGTTCATCTGTTTGATCAATAAATATCTTGTGTTTGTAGTGAATTCAATTGAATATGGGTTGAAAAGATTTCAACCCATATTCTGTTTTTTTATGTTTTACCCAACTTTATTGAAACTAGAATTGTTATTAAGAAGGAATCTTTGAAGCTGATTCATCCATAAAACAAACTAAAGGCAAGCTAAACATAAACTTGTTTAAGCCTGTAAATGCCTGTGTTGAGTGATATGGCTCCAGCTCCAGCTATGGCTACAGGTTAAGCTGCAAGACAAGACTTCCTTATTCAGGCAAAGACACTGAGGACTGAAAGAGCAGCATTACAATGAGGTTTACTGTCTGGAAAGAGATCAGGATCACGTCTATCTTGGAATTAGTTCAAACACTTTACCTTTGATATGTTGCATTGCTTTGGAATTTCATCATACTGAAGGTTAAAAAAACAAAATAAAAGAACAGCATTATAACACTGCTGATCAGCACTGACCCCAGGCTGACCCAATGATTGTCTCTTTCAGTTTGTTTGGGGGGAAGCGGGTAGTGGAAAGGCCTTAAATGACAGAATCTCCAATTTTGTTCTTTGCATCTTCCTCAGCCTTCTCAAGCTCTATCATCTTCTGTCTGACGTCTTGCTCCTTGCTCAGGCCCTCTTTCTTTTGCTTCCTCCTGTTCCTGGCCTCCACCCATGGTATGAGACACAACAGGATCCCCCCAATGATCGGGGGGATGCCTGCCAGGTAGAAGGCCATGTCATAGCTTTTCAGTTTGTCTCTCAGGAACCCTGCAAAACAAAACAGGAGGTTGCACTGATGGAAGGATGGCAGCAAATCTGTCACATATTGCACTGTCTCAATAATGTCAGCTTTTTGTATTATGTCATAATACAAAAAAATTATTTTTTGTAGGATTTATTATTTGTAGAATAAATCCTACAAATAATATTATTACAATTCTAATAATCAACAATTTGCGTAACTGTTACCAACAGCAAGATATTTCTCTCTCTCTCTGTATATATATATATATATTTTTTTTTAAATAACAGATCAAAGACTATATATATATATATATATATATATATATATATATATATATATATATATATATATATATATATACACACATTTTTTAGGTCTTTACATAGAGTAAGAATCTCTTAACACTCAAAAGAATTCCCAAAACTTTAAACTTAGCCTCAAAGATTAATTCCTTTTAGGAATCCTCACTGACATTCTCATCTCTTTTGTCAATATCAGGATTATGAAACGACTTTCTGAACCATTCAGGGTTCTGAACAGAACTGCCAGAGTAATGATGAGAACATCCAGCGCTGTTCTCTTTGCACCAACCATCAAATCTGGGAGACAGATTGAAAATACAAAAAGAACCTCTTTGTATTGCAGGAGGGAGAGGTGGTTCGTAACAGCGTTTTTCAAAGTTTTGGCCACCAGGGGGCGCTATAGGGGAGCCTCAGAAAGTTGGAGGGAAGATGAGAGAAAAAATGGGGGAAGAAAATGGAGTCCATTACATTTTTAAATCAGAAAGTTTAATTATTTTTATAAATGTAATCTCCTTTTCAATTTTTATTATAAAATATAAGTTACAACACCTAATTCAAGATGGAGATAGAAGATAGAAATTGTCATTCTTGTCCCGCAGAGAAGATTCAGGTGCAGAACCCAGGTTCAAATTATAAATAAGCATCTGTGAAGTTAAACTGTAACATTTTTCTTTTTTTGAAAAAAACATTTTGATATATTCTTTTTCTTTACTTATACTTTGTGTACAATTCATGTTAATGTGAATGACTGGTGTGGAATTGTTCTTTTTCACTTTGACAACTCCTCAGGACACGATTTTATTTGTATTAAAGGTGTTATTTCAAAAAGGTACCTTAAATGTTATTGTGATTTATAAACTAGGTTAAAATCCTGTTTTTTTGGGGGGGAGGTCATGAGCAACAAATTCAACTTTTTTTTGTCAACTTTTTTTTGTTAGACCATGTTATAACAAATATAAGCTTAAAAATTGATAACTTTGACTATAGCTTTTTGAATAACGTGCCAGAAAACAGTCATTTTAGGGTGCAAAAATCACAATAAACATAGCAACACTGGAGGGACTGATCAGTCTTCTACACATGTTGATTTGAATAACTGCATTTTTTTTAAAAATTTTGATTATTTTTATGATCTGTTATTAAAATTTGTTTAATGATCTGAGTCGAGACAAAATTTGAATAGAACTACTTTTTCACTGTAACTGTCGTTGTGACAGCCTTGAGGTTTACAACAACGGAGGTGGAATAGACATTATTTGGAGCAACAGTGCTAAAAATAAGTGACAAGTATCTCAGTGCTCTATGAGCAGCCTGGTAACTGAGCTGCATTAGATTGCTGCACTAATTCTCTCTGACTGGGCTGACAGGGAGGAGCAATCTATTTCCAGAGTAGTGAGGGACGTCAACATAACACCAAAGATGTTGAACGTGCATCCGCATCAACAGGGTGACTACTTCAAAGATAAGCAAAAGATCATAAATCACTTTATTTCTGTTTTAAGCTTGTCTCTGAAAAAAGCATGTCCTCAATTTACCTGCAATTGGGGGACCTGCAACCATGGGAACGGACATCAGGCCCAGCAGGAAGCCTATAGCTTGGGAGACATCTTTGGCTCCAACCAGCTCGAAGGCGATGGGCGCCATGATGCAGATGAAGCAGCCGTCAAAAAGCCCCATCACCAGGCACACGGCGATCAGCCCTCCAAAGATCTTGCACAGCGGGATCATCATGGACATGACGCCGATGACGAAGAACGAAAGGACCTGCAGCAGGAGATCGTTTTACACTTACAAGTTCAGGGCAAAAGAATTTTGCATAGCCTCAAACTTGCCATCTTCAATTCATAGCAGCTTTATCCCAAATCTACATGTTTTTTGAATATCATTTTGCACTGCATGCTCGTGATCATGAGACCTTCTGTCAGAGGCCTCACCTGAAGGAACACTTTGTTGGATCCCTTCACAAAGTCCGCCACGCTGCCGCAGATGAACCGGCCCAGGCAGGACGTGATGCCGAGGCACAGCAGCAGGATCTCTTTGTTTACCTCTGGCCCAAAGCGCTCCTGCACGTGGTTCATCTGGAACAGATGAGAACGACATATTTACATTCAAAAAACTCAATGAGCATCAAAACAGGGGTCTTCAAAGTGTGGCCCAGGGGTCATTTCCGACCCATTGACTAATTCTGTGTGGCCCGCCAGAACAGATGGAGATTTTTTTTTTTAATCAGCGCAAAAATAATGCAGATAAAATACAATTTTCTACGACGAAAAATATGAAGCACAACACAAAGTTGTGCTTAATATTGAAAGTTTCTCTTTCATATCAAATTAAGTGATATGAAATTAACTGACTTATACTGATAAACAGACTTTAGAGAACCCAAATCTGCTTGTACTGAATTTAGTAAACCTTGCTTAATACTGGAATCATTTTAAACAGAGAATGACCCGAATCCTGTTCTTACTGCTGAGAACAGTCTGAACGTTTATGCTATTTTGGTTTGGTTTTCTTTTTCATCTGAGCCCAAAAGAATTTGCAAACTGAATCTCTTTCATTGAGTAATGTGAGCTTTTTTAAGTTTTGGATCTATGATGATTTGAACTTCGCTTACAAAAAAAAAAAAAAAAACCCTGACTCATTCACTTCTTTAATTAGAATTATTGGATGATTATTTTATTGTTGAGCAGCAAAATAAAAACAAAAAACTGTAATTTCTTTGTAGTCTCAGAACTTTTTTGGACCTGTGAGTACTTTTGACATTATCATTTTGTCGCATTACGCTACATTACTTGAAAATCATCGCAAAACAAGAATATTGACATTCATCGCGATAAATTTCTGGGACAAGCCATCGCCCAGTGAAATTTGTCACTGTGTGTCATTGCCTAGTAATGGTACAAAAAAAATAGGATTAGGAATTTTGAGGCTAGAATAAAAAATAATAATTTTAAAAAAATCTGTGGGTTCTGCAGACAGAAGATGCCTTTGAAATCTGACAGATTTGGAGACATGTTGCAAATAAGAACACGCAAGTCAAGACTTGGAGCGCTGGCAGACAATAACTGCTGAAACAGAACTAAAATATTCTTCAACAAAGTATGCACTGGAGGGTGTGCACACATACAGAACCTGTTCATTGCATCTTTTACCTTTATTCAGCCAGATTTGTTTCATCACCTACATCACACAATCACACATAAATGTCACATTAAAAAAGAAACCGGTTTTTAAGTGATTCCTCATGCTGTCATCTGGTGTGTAGACTCTTGAGGTCCACTACTGCACACTGCTGGACCATAATACACAAGTAGTGCTGATGTTTCTGTTGCAGGAAAAGTTGTGCAGTCATGTTCTCTGTACTGTTTTAGAGTCAGATAGTGAGCTTCCAACTACCTCTACCTCCAGTCATGCACCAGCAGTCCTGCTCAAAGAGCCCATCTGTCTGCAGGCCTCTGCAGGTCTCACATCCATCTGCGATGACCTCTGGCTGCATTATTGTCTCCATCAAAGTACAACAAGATGCTCTGTGTTCGCAGCTTTTCTGCTCAGAGACAGCTACATGCTGCAGACTTAACGGGATGCTCAGTGGGGGAGTGTGTGTGTGTGTGTGTGTGTCTATGCACACTTTGCATGCATCAGCAGAGTAACTCATGATACATAAACTATTCTGAGACTGAAGCCCAGAGGGAAGAATCAGACAAAGACAGCAGATTCGTCCGACATTCCAACAGGATGGACGGTTTCTTGGTTTTGGTCTTTCATTCTGAAACTTCTCTTTTGCTAATGTCAGAGTCAGATAGTGAGCTTCCAACTACTTCTACCTCCAGTCATGCGATTAATTATCACATAAAGCTGTTAATAATTAATTCTCCAATGTTCCCAATGCAGCCCCTGGCTCCCAGACTGCAGGTTCAGTGATTTCTAGAGTTTGTTTTTTAAAACTTGAACATGATGCAGATCTTTCATAGTTACAAAAGCTCAGGTAATCATTGATCACTTTCCTGCTGCTGCTATTTTCTCCTTCTGCGCCCCCTCATTGTCTGCAGCTTATGTCAAACATGCCCAATCCACATCATTTACAAGCTGCTTTGCACATTTTGTTTGCTTAATGTCTCCTTCAGCACATTGACCAGTATGCTTATTTATTTAACAGTTATTCATAGTTGTTTGACTTCTTTTTAAAGGTTCAAAAAAGTATTTATACTCAGCCTTTTTGCTTCTGGTTTTTGTTTCAAGTAGGTAAAATAAAGAAACAAATCAATCATTACTCATATTCACCATATGAAGCACTAATATTGTGATACATTTTTCAGCCATATCAGCTGGCGCTAGCTCAGCCCTTTAGTATGAACTAAAGCATAGAACAGAGGGCTAGACTACTAAATGATTAAACTGAATGGAATTTCAAATGAAAATGTATTTGCTTGGCATGCAAGTCACCCATGTTTCAAATTTTGTCCCCTTGCATGTTTGAATTTAACATCCCCCCTCTAACAGCGCCAGTGAGGTGTTTCACATCACTAGTATTTGTATTATTTTTTCTGCAAAATTTTACTAAAATGTGCCAAAAAAATTACTTAAAAGTTTTAGTTCTCAACTCTCATTCTTTGTTTATATGATTTGAATTTCGCAGTGCAGTTCAAAGTGTTTTGTAGGCCTCATGTGGAGCCGTATTATAAATTATAGAAGCGGTTAGCATGAGCACTATTGGTCATGGACTCAACAGGTCTAGTCTGACGGAAGAGAAACCTGAGGAAAGTCAACATAGAATGAAACAACAATGACACCAAATACTATTAAAAACAGCATGTAGCGTTCTGTTGTCAAGCTCAGGTATCTGCTCAAAAACTTGATGGGGATTTATTCTTCCTGATCCCACAATTTAACTGCAGCTTCTGCCAGACCGTCTGTACAGGAAGGTCATGGGAGCAGGAGCTAACCCAAAACTTGTTTTCTTCAGACACAGGGAAACTGCATCAGCTCAGATGTGATCGTTTGTTTTAGGTTTCCCAGGTGACCCTCAACCATCTTCCCCTTTCAAACTTTTTTTTTGTCTCCCAGGCGTCTCAGGGTTAATAACTGCAGGTTTCTACCTCAACTTGACACTGTGAGTCATTACATTAGTTCAGTAAAATCATTTGTGCAACAAAAGGATTAGCTCATTCTTCCCCTTTTTAGAGACAATCTACCCTGACACTTAAAGCAACCAGACCCACCCTTACATACACTACTCACAGAAGATGCCTGGCAGTCCTCTCTTTCCTGGAGCTAACAAAGTACCATGTGACTGGTGGGATTTTCCTTCTCAAGGTGACAGAGCGACCGTGGGTCTTTCTGAGAGTTCAGGGAATGAATGGCTGCTGCGGCTACAAGGCCAGCGTTGGTGCTGAGGCCGCAGCTTCGCCCCCGTGGCGACCCAGTCTGAGTAGCTGACACTGGAGAAGTGTTGTGAAAACACAGCTGATCTCCTTCGAATAGCAAAGTCTTGGTGTCCAAATAAACAGAACCCCCCTCCCCTGAGGCTCTCCAGAACCTCCAGGCTCTTCTCCTTCACAGCCCTCCTGAAAGTTTGTTTACTTCAAGTCAGCATGTTTCTACTTCAAGCAGAGATGAAATAATCACTTATGACTAACAGCAGATTACAGGACTGAGATAAACAATACGTTTGATTCCATTCATCAAACAATCAAATACTCTTTCAGAACAATTCAAGGCTCTAAACAGACTTCAGGAGACAAGGCTTCTTATAAAGGTTTGCGTTTCCATTAACCAGAAAACTGGATAAATTGAAATTCCAAAAATAAATTTGCTTATTGGGAAAATGCAAATTATGATAAAGCTCAACATTTCAGCTAAAAGATAAAAAAAGTGCATTACATGAGGTTATTTTCAGCTCTTTGGAAATAGATATATTTCACAAAACTGCAACAGAAACATTTTTTTCAAATCACACAACTGATGTCATCATCAGCCAAATGTCACTACTGGCAAAAATCACAAAGAAGACAAGACAGGAAGTAGTAGGAGGATGATGATTTGTTTTTGTTTTTTCAGACAATATGCAGTCGGCCCCACCAGAGCCCTTACAGCATCACACAGCCCATTCAAATGTATTAAATCTTTAGCTCTTCTGTAAAATCACTGTCTATAATTTCCCCAAATCACTGTGTACACAGCTAGTAGCAACCGCAAGCACGTTAAGAAAAAGAAGGCAGCAGGCATACATGAAGTGATGAAGATACACTTGACTGAAGTGTTAACTATTTTGTGTTAATACAATGGCTGCATATGAAAATTTGGGCTGATATTGATATCAACACTACAGGGCAAGAGAACTTACCAGATGGACGTATGGTACATAGTACCCATAAAGAGCAGCAGGTATTCCAAAGGCCCAAATACGGTATCCTGCAGACTTCCAGATGTTCATGTTGAAGATCCGACTCAGACGGAATCCTGTTTGGCTCTCGGCTGGTTTGGCTGGCAGCAGGGGCTTGTAGGTGAAGCCGGCTGGTATCAGTACAAATATGAGAACGCAGAAAACACGCAGAGTGTTTTGCAGGCCCACTTTCTCCAGGAGCGGTGAAAAAATGAAGGGCAAGGCGATGGTGAAGATGCCGCTGCCAGCCGTCACAATGCCATTCACCAGGCCCAGGCGCTTCTTAAAGTAGTGACCTAAGATGACCAGGCTGGGCTGATAGGCAAAGGAGCAGCCGCAGGCGAACACGATGCCATACGTGAAATACATCACACCAAGGCTCCTGTGGGGTAAGACAGACAAAAGACAACTCAAAGGAAAGCAGTGTGTGTCAGCCCTGAAACTGCTGTCTCCTATCTTATCATGGTGTATCTAAAAACATGCCTTGGGTTTGACCCGGCCGTCCCAGTGAGAGTCCAACTGGCGGTGGAAACGCTGTCCTGAATACATGGAATTTAAAACAGCGTACCGAACCACACCGCACTGCACCAACCCATGCCGCTCCGCTTAGTGGAAACTAGGCAATAGTTTGACACTGACAGGATCTCATTACTAGTTCCTGCTGACCAGTTCTTTTGTCTATGTCATATTGGGGCATTTTCTAAAGGGTTACTAATCATTACATGCATTCCTTCCATGCATAATGAATAAGCACCAAATAAAAACAGTTGTATATCAAACAGGACCAAACTGAACTTTATTTCAATGTATCTGCCTTTTAGTTATAATACATGGCTTAGATTAATCCAGAAGCTCGTTTTGCCAAACACATTAGGTCGAGCAAAAATAACACAAAAATAATTCATTTTTCAGATTTTACTGTCAGGATATATCAAGGGCTGAACTTCAAATGGATTCTTTTCATCCTGATTGGGGTAAGAAGATCAGAGTTCCGGCCTTTGAAAATAACTTGGCACTAGTAGACTTACCTGTCCTATGCACTGTCCTGTGCAGAAGTTGGCTGCCAGCCTACCCAGGGTTTTGTGAAAGCCTCTTTAAAAAGTCACCTGACAAGCAGTAATTCAGCAGTCTTATAACTTATTCAGTGCACCTAAAACTGATAACGCTGCAGATTTGTTGCCTCATGTGCAGATGAGCATGACTTCTTAGGAAATGATTTACAGCACAGTGTTAGTGCAAAGACACCAAGCTACAAAGAGGGACATCCAAAAGTTTATGAACTGGTTTCAAATGGAGTTAATAATTGGTAATTTAGTTGTTTAGACTGAGGTGAGGTTAAGAGAAAACATTAACTGGAATATTCTTTTATTCCCTATTTTTGTTCATCCTAACTTCATTTGGTTAGAAAACCAGCAGAGGCCGGCTAAGAGAACGTCAAACAATGTTTATTTTACAGAGATAAAGCGCAGAATGTGTGTACAACCCATTAGAACTGGATATGTGACTTTGATCACATATCCAGTTACCTAAAAAAACAATTTATACACAACTGTTGCACATTTTACCATGCTAAAATCACAACCCTCCATGTATTTCAACGAGACCAACACAAAATAATGCAGAACTGTCAGGCAGAACAAAAATTATGCAAAGTTTTCATTTGTAATCTGCCCCTCACACCCCAAAATAAAACCCCACATCACCGTCTCAATGTAAACTTCATAACTTCCTTACTTGACAAAGGAGCTGGCCAGGAGGCCGGCCAGGGCGACAGCAGCGCCACCTACTGCAGTAATCCTGCAGCCGAAGATGTCTGTGAAGATGCTGACGATGGGGGAGCAGAAGAAGATCATCCCCATGGAGAGGGAGCCCACCCATGCTGAAAGAGACACACATGGAGCAAATATGAACAAATCATATCCCTAAAAGGTGTAAGGCAAAAAACATGCAGAAGTAAGTCAAGTAAAATGATGTTTTTTTGCTTTTGTGTCATAACAAACACAGAAATCAGAAAGAGCGTTCTCATTTTTCATCTCCGATTTCAAAGAATGATGAACTCCTAAATTTGCTGCTACCCTTCAGATGTTTTGTGTGTGTGTGTGTATTATTAACAAAATAATTTATTATAACATTTAGGCTTATATAATTTTAAAATAAAATACTACAATGCCTGGGTTTAAAAACAAAGCTCAAGTGAGCTGTTTTTAAACCCAAAGCACATTTCTTTATAAAGTAACTCTCTTACTGAAGACAATTACACTATGGCAAATGAAACACCCTCCCTATGGTTACCATGGTAACCCACAACATAAAAATCAACCAATCACATGGCAGAAACTTAAGACATTTGGATCTATATCTGTAGAGAACCCTTTATTACTGCTGTCTATGGACAACACAGTTGAACTTCTTAACAATTTTTGAATGCTCCATAATCAGTTGTGTTGTCAACAAATGAAATTTAACTACTAATTTGAAGGGGATTTTGTTTTTATTGTTTTTGCACACCTTTTCATATGCTTAGCTATTTTTTAAAAGGTGTGACTATTATACAAAATCATATTAAAATGGTCTTTTGTCTCATTTTGTGGTTAAAAATGAGGATGTTTTCTTTCTTTTCAAGATACACTGGTGGTTGACACACAAATCATGTTTAGTTAAACTATATTCTTTTGACATGATGTTTTACTTTGATTGGATTGTACTTAGAAAGTATAAATTATTTAGAGTGTTTAATTCTTTTTTTCCTGTTCTGCAGGTCAAATACACAAAGAAGCTCTCTGAAAATTGTTAAAGATTTATATTTTTATTGCTTCCTTTTCATTAACTCCACAAAAACTAAAGACTCACTTTTTGAAATTGCAAGCATATCAGCGATGATGTTTTAAGATGCATAATGAGTCTAGTAAAAAATGATCTTTTGGTAGTTTTAGCAGAGCTGGGGTTGCAAACAGCAGAGGAAACATCTGCACTGTTGCTGCTTGCTTGGTCAGCAGCATCATGTGAGCCTGAACTTAAACAGCACTGAGTCATTGTGCAGCAGATCCCTCTGTGAAACACAGGGAACAGCCCTGCAGAAGTTCTGAACAGCACAGAAAAAATTGATTGAAAGAGTTTCAAAATAAAACTCATTGAATCATTTCAGTTTGTATTTCTGAAAATGTTCAACTCCCCCAATTTTAAGTAAATTGTGGGGATTCAGCAGATGGCGCATTTAGACCGAAATAACTTTGTGACCATCAGAGTACCACACAGCCTTCAGGTAGGATAACATGTCTAGTTGTTATTCTCAGATCTAACCTCAGTCAACTGAAACCTGTGAGAAATTTTTTTTTTTAAAAAGCAGCTGGGGGCGGGAGGAGTTTTTCATCTGCTTCATACGTGAGTAACTACAGACCACTGAGAGAAACTGCAATTTCTGAGCTGTTGTCTGCTTGACTGATGTCTTTAATCTTTCTGAATCCTTATCTCACCCCATGCGATTAAAGAGCCCCACCTACTCAATGCTGATGGTATGAGGCTTAGTAGAAAAACACCCTAACAAGACTAATTACACAGGAGCTTAGCTCAAAAGTCCAACCGAAGAAAACATGCACAAACTCAACAGCCAATCACTCAGTAGCTTTATGAATGTTTTTTAGGTTCATTTTAAACAAATAACTGGGAAAGTTAAAATTTTTTTGCTTAGAGGTCACAGAAATACTTATTGACTGGTTCTAGTCAGGTCGTCCATGTAAAACAGTTTAAAGAAATTCACTTAATGGATTAAAGAGTTAAAATTTTCAATAGGGATCAAGTTCAGACAAAGTTTACATTTTACAGCGTCTATATAAACTTTGTGAAAAGCTCTGAGAGAGAATGATTCAGCAGGGTGTGGGGCTTTAGCTGTCCTGGAAAGAGAAAGAAGAATAAACTACAACAGTCATTGGTCTTCATCTGTAAATCTGAAAATAATTGTAGCTGATGACGATGATTTTGTTTACATATGTAATTTTTTTATGAAGTAAAATACAGCTTTTGACTGGATCAAAACACTCTGTCATTAAGGACATCAATCACCAAAGCATTTTTGGGAGAGATTTGGACCGTTTTATCTGTCCTGATAAAACGGTGGTTTTGTTGCACAAAACCATGTCATCATCTCAGCCTTTGTTTCAAAATGATCTAAACCTTCTCATTTGGTGGATGGTTGGGATTCCTGCCAGCCGATAAGCACATCTAGTGCCTTGAATTGAACACATTGGGTTTAAGAGTCTCCCACCTGGTAGTGTTTCTTACTACCAGATGGTAGTAAGAAAAACAAAACTACTTCTCAACTTTGCTTGATGTCAAGTTATAAGCTGTGTTTCAGTTGTATTCAAAACTGGGAAATTCTGACAAAGATATTGTAACAATCAACTGGAATACCTTTATGACACTGGACTTTCCACTAGGAAAGTGGAAGAACTCTGACTACCTCCAGTTATGATCAGTAATGCCTTCTTTAAATTTAAATATGGCTGCTACTTGCATCAAGAGAAGTAAAACAAAGCAAGTTGATTTTAGGAGATACGCAAGACTGTGTCTAAGATCAATGTTACATATAGTGCCTTTCATTGATTGGATGGTTTCTCCTACTTTACATCTACTTGTATTTAAACAAGTAGAGCTAACTCGACAGTTTAGATCTACAACAACTGTTCATGTTGTTGGTTTGTGGATTAGTGCACTCTGTTGGTCGGCAATTAAAAGACATTTCCACTGATGTTATTCTTTGTCATTGCTACTTTTTGAGAAGTAACAGCCAGACACTGTACAGGCTCTGAAGGCCTAATGTGCTAATGCCAAGTGAAATATTGACTTGGCATTAGCAAGTCAATATTTGCTAATATATTGACTTGTCCATGTAAAAATACAAATGGGACACTTTTCATACTGTTTGCATCCTTTTGCATAATTCTTTGCTCTAGATTCCCTCTGTGATCTAATAAACTGCCAAAGCCTCCATAAAGCTTGTCCAGACAACACACAGTCAGAAAAATACCCTGAATTTAATGGAGTTGATTCTGTTTGCTTTTATATTTGTGGAGAAAGCCTTCTTTAAGCTACATAATGTAATAAATGACTGTGAACATGAAGAGCACAGAATGCCTCAAAGACAACAGGAAATTGCAGCTGTGTTGTGGCGGCCGTCTCGATTTAAACGCATTTACGCTTCAGACCAAAAAGAAATTCAAAAATGTAATATTAGGGTTTGTTTTGTCCCGGCAACATCTATCAATAGCCACAGGCTCTCCCAATTGGTTGCCACGTGTGGTCTGTCTGCTAAGGGCTTTGCTGGACACTACTGTGATGTGAACCTGGTCACCCCGAAATGACGAAAGCAGCATCAGAAACAGCCAACCTGGCATCCTTCTGCTTGTCACTGAAAAAAATGGGTTCAAAAGCCTGTGAAAGGACACTTGTATGACTGTTTATCCTATTTTCTGTTTGACAGAGAAATAAAATGGATCAGACTCTCTGCCTTCAATACTCCTCATTCTGATGTCTCTCATTGTGTTTGGGTGACGTAGTCGCAAAGGCTCAATATGTGGTGTCCATGTTCGTGCATCATGACTATCGTGTACTCATCTTCAGAGGATGTTTCAAATCATCTCAAACCGGTTTCTTGAACAATAAGAATGAGTCTGTTGTGCATCCCACAGATCTCAGTCCAACAGAGCACCTTTGGATGTGGAATGGGAGCCAAACAGTCCATCTGGGCAACAGGTCTACAGCAATCTGTGAGGAATGTTTCTGACACAATGTTGGTTCTGTCAAAAAGAACTAGAGCAGCTCTGGAGGCACTAATATTACTTCTCTATAAACAGAAGCAGCTCTAGGTGTCCCCTTTTGAAGTAAGTGGTCGAAGCTGTCAAATAAAACAGATTGAAACATCCACTTAAAGGCTTTAATGGAACCTCATGTTCTCACTTAATTTGGTCAATAAAGTCAAAGGGTTAAAGTAAAGCCACCGGCTGTTGATGTATTAAATAAAAGTGATGGAAACAGCTAATTGAACTGGAACACAGTGAGATGGCAGGCGATTTTCCGACAGTTCAAATGAACAGCCCCTTTTTAAACTCTTTTGATGATAGATTATGTGTGTTGGATGAAGACAAGCCTCATCTAACACCCACTTCGGACTCTGTCCCAAGTCATCAGACCTTTCAGATGAATGACCAGCCAAAGGAGGAGAAAAAGCTTTTTAAAATTTTATGAGTAGTGAGACAAAAATCACCTGATACCACCCTGGACAGATGTATTATTGTTTTGTCATTCTGCTGATGGACTCTTAAGGAGATTCTTTTGAGACCTTCCTTATCACAGCTCACTGCAATGCCATTTATTGTACATAGATGTAGAGTTAGATTGAAATAAAATTTTAAATTGACAGAAAAACCCCAGGAAGATAACTTGTATCACAAATAAGACACATGCTTGCTGACATAATAGTTTGGGATTTATTAGACAACAATGCAGGTTCTGGAAGTAAATAAAACAAAAGGAAGGTGAAAAACAGAAGTGTGTAATAGACAGGAAAGTTAAATATCAGTAAAGACATCTTAGACATGCATGCATAGCCTGCATGCTAACTTGTTCTCACAACAACAGTCTGACATTTTCCACACCTGCCAAGGTAAACAGAGGGACAGCGATCCATAAATTCACACAGAAATAGTGACATGTTTAAAACCAAAGATCAGCGGGGTTAATGGCGGACAAAACCGGGGGTTGCTAAGGCAACAGCTCTTTAATGGATGACTACATGGAGTGTGAGTTATTGGTTTACAGCGTTTTCTAAGAAAAGATCATCTTCACACACTGATGTTGAAAGTAAAAACAGCATTTTGCTTTCAA